AATGAAATGTATAAACTACAAAATTGAAAAAATATATGTTGTTTTCTAATTTAGAGGCTCCATTAATTAAAGAGGTTTGTTTTTCTTATTTAAGTTTAAAATTGGAGGGCAAGTCAGAGGGAAGGTTACCTTTGTAAACAGGCCACATCCCATAAAGGAACAACAAAAGAATATTGGTTATACTTTTATGCTAAAATGGGTTCCGAATACACACACTGACATAGTCATCTATAATAAATCAACCTAATAACCCGAGCAAAGCTGAGTACTTTTGCTAGAATATAATAAAATAACCTGTGTGTGTATGTGTGTGACCTGGCACACATACTAAGGAGATTCTGGGTATTATTTTTTAGATTTGACTTTAAAAAAAAATTTGGTTAGTTTTTGCTCTATAGCCCTTAAGCTTCCTGAAGGTCTCTAGAAAAGTATCATATTTTTTTCTAATTCTCTCTTACTGAATGACTAATATGTGGAGGTTTTCTGCCAAATACTGTTGAAAAAGAACAAAATGGTCAAAAATTGACATATTTTACCAAAAATGAACTAAATTCAATGGGGTATGGGGCCAAACATTTCTTAGCCAGTCAAAGGCAACGTGAAGGGAAACAAAGGCATCAGGACTCATGGAACAGACCCTCAGAATACTAGAAAAGGTTTAACTAAATGAAGGTCAGGAAATAACATCAAATAAAACAGTTAAATAAAAAAAAAGACAATATAGTTGAAAATTTTTAATTTTCTTCGCATTCATACAACCCTCAGCCTATCAGCCTTGGAACACTCAGAAAATATAGTCTGTTTTACAAAATTTTAATATGTAATTTTACATTATATTTTTTAAATTCAAGAAATGTCTTCTATAGGTTTGTAGGGAATAGAAAATCTATGAAAAGATTTTTGGCTGTATCTCATATCTAAAATAGGTTGAGAATACAGACACAGTCGACCAGTAAAATATCAGTTTAATAACCCAAGTGAAGCAAGGTACTTTGGTTAGTATATATAATAAACCTAAGAAAATACACAAAAGTATGCATAGTATATATGTGTGTGTGTATATATATATATATATATATATATATATATATACACACACACA